AAAGTTTTATAGGATAGTATTAAAATAGTTTGAAGTAAAAATTGGCAAATGTTTTTATAAACGTTTGGTTTTATAAGTAGTCTATCTTGCATCAAAAACACCGGACTCTCCCTGATGGTGCAGCAGGTTAAATCACAGCACTGAGAAGCTAAAGTAACTGCAGCATGAGATCCAGAGGTGATCCACAATATCCGGCAGACCTCTCCTGACCTGCCTGCTGCTCCCCTACTTTGTCAGTAGGCCTGTTCTGCTCTATCTCTGGTGAATCCTCTCACCGCCCCTGCACCTCTGGCTTGTACCCCAGCTCTGTATGCATAAATAAATACATCTTAAAAAAAAAACCATATTACCAATTATGAAATAATTCAAGTAGTTTATGCAAAAGGGTACTATATAAATCTGATCTGCTTTGTTCATTTTGCCCTTATTTTCATTTTTGACTCTGGAACGTCAAAATTAAGTGAAAACCTTTATATCCCATAATGGTCAGTTTGGAGGCTACACGTTATTCAAATATAAACAAGCTTGGGTTGAAACCTGGACTAGGATAGTTTCTTTAGTTTATCTGCTACTACCTTTGAAAATCTTTGCATAAAATAGCTAAAGAAACTAAAATAAAAATGAGACTACTGTAAAATAGTATCATTCCTTAATTCATAAGTTAATATTCCATATGTTATGTATCCAATCTCAGTGAGGAGGAAGGGAAATGCTCTGAGCTCTTTGAGGGTCATGATACTGTATACATAAATGTCTTCTGAAGATATACTGTTAAGTTTATAATGCAACAGATTCTTAATAACTCAAGTCATTTTGATGTATCTTACTATGTTATTACCTAGAAAAGTTCAAATGGGCTAAGAAGGTGATCTACCCCTAGCTAACTACTATTTGTCCCAACTATTATTTTTTGCATTTTATCTACACATTTTTCCTACTTTCTGCCTCTATCTTCATGAATACTTGAAACACCTGCTATTACATGTCAAATTATTTTTTTAAAAATCTGCATAGAGGCATCTGTTACATAATCTGTTCTGGGTGGATAACATCACTGCATAAAGAAAGAACTACTTTTAAAAAGTTAAACTGAAAAAAGGAAGTTACTGCCTTGTTGAAGATAAGTCATTGAATAGTTAACCTTAACATTAAAAAAATTTTTTTTCAAATACATAAAATATAAACGAGACATGGAACCTTAGGGTCTTCATAACTTCGTTCCAGGGAGATACCACAAGACAGAAGAAGGATTTTATAATTCTGGATGAAGTCATAGATGATAACAGAACTTTCTTTATCAGATTCCTTTTGAAAACAGGATTGAAGGTGCCACATTCTGTCTTTCACAGTCAGAGTTGGATCCAGAGAAGGAGGGACCAAACTGGCACTAATTTCTTTAACAACAAGAATAAAAATTACATATATTAATTTGAAGTAGCAATTTTTAGTGGAAAGACAGAATAGGACTCAGGAGCCTAAGGGTCTAATTCCATGTAACCAATTAACTCACCATGATCTAATTCAGGACATATTGGCTATGTAGATAAAGCACTTCATAATCTAAAAATTATGATTTGGCACAGATGATTTATAATGCTCTAATTATTTGGGGGGAAATTCTAAATCTTAAGATGCCTAAAAATAAAATTATGGTCCTCCAAATGAGGAGTTAAAGATGTAAAAGGCATTTTAAAATGAAATTTAAGAAGCTTCTTATAAAGGAAGATTCAAATTAACAATTTTTATCTAAAAAGAAATGGAAGTTAAAGTAACTTACCAAGGCACATATTCCTGAAAATATTTAATGCTTACTCAAGAACAGACATTACATGGCATCCTTTGAAATATTTCTAAACTAATTGTGTTCCTGTCTAAAACCAATCAACCAGTTTCGTACCCAACAAGCATAATAAGATTACAAGTTATTTCTAAACCAATCCTTTAAAGTTAAAAGACTGTGGTTCAACTGTTATAGATGTTTTAGCTCATGACTACCTCTAAATACATTTCAGACCCAGTCAACTGGAGGAAAAAATCTCTGAAAAACTTGGATCTAATTTGCAACAGCCAACCCTAAAGGTGACCAGGAGATCTTGAGGCTCTACTACCCCAAGAAAAAGCAAAGCATTAATAGCCCAACTGTGACAAGTGGAGAAGAGTTGAAAGTAGTGCTTCTCAAAACATTCTAGTTAATACATGAAATAATCTATATACTTGCCACTATACAAAAGAAAAATTACTTTAATCCTAAAAGGAAATTCTGGCTAATTATCAGGAAATCTTCAAATAAATCCCTATCCTGATAGAGCGTGCATTACAAGGGCACACTATAGTGACTTGGTCAAATAGCAATTACTTACCACAATTTGGCTTTTGTTCTGTTTCCAAGGAAAGATAATAGGCATCTCTTCCACCCCAGCATACTGCCAGTCCAACAACCAAGAGGTCATCACAACCTTTAACAGGAAATCCATCATTTCTACTAGGGGTTTTCTGAAGTGAATTAACTAAATAAAAGTGAAAGTTCAGTACAGTGAACATTTTAAAAAACAATAATAAAAATTTGACAAAATTTCCAGATTCCTAAAATATACATTATTTCAATAGTATTTAATTGTATATATGATTCTAGGCTTTCCATCAATTAACTGTCATTATGAATGATCTACCAAAGATATCTTAAGGTACAATAGATTTACAATAATGAATAAAATGAATATTAAATTAAAAAATTTGAATTTCTGTATCTCAAATAAGACTATTTGTACCCTACAAAAATTTTATAGCAAATTCAGTATACTTAAAACTAAGAAACTCCAGGAAAAGAATCTTATTTCTTAGTGAGGAACTATTTGATGTCAATATTGTTTCTAAAATAATATTTTACTGATTTTACAAAGACACACATTAAGACCCAATTTATTTATAATTTTTTTCCCCAATACCTGGAACATTATCTAGTGCATATTGAATTTAAGTGAATTTTTTTATCTCTTTAACCTCAAGCACAGAAAATGTGCTAGAATTGCTTGTTAAATGAAAGAATATAAAATATTAAATCAACACTAAAAGTACATAAACTCTGACATTAACATCTGTCCCATGAATTAAAAATAAAATACTCAAATCTTTATGAACAAATTCAGTCATAAATAGAAATTTAAGTAAGATGATCAAATTTATTTCCATAAGTTGTCAAGCTAACTAAAGCTATTTCTCATGATACAGAATCTTTAGTCACGAAGGCAGAAATATATGGCATTCTTTGACCAAAAGTTTCAATTCTCTCCTAGAAGAGCTCTTCACAGTTTTGGGATCATTTTGGTAGAGTTCATAACTACCATCAGGAGAGATACAAATTCTATTTTGAGATAATTCTGGATAGTCACCGAAGTGGACAGCTACCTGAAGACCTGAAAAAGTCTCAGGCCAAGATAGGTCTTATTAGACCCCCAGGCATAGCACTGAATCAACCAGAATAGCAGTGGTTTGCATTTTTTTCAGTCTTCCTGGCATCAGTGTTTAAGCTCTTCCACCTATGTTGGCAAGCAATTATTTTTAATCCAGTAAGACTGAATAACAAAGTTGACCTTATATGTCAACCCATGCAGAATAATTTCTTAAATTTTGACTAAATTTAGTACATTTAATATCCTGTACTGAAAAGTCTAGTCCCACCTCACCCCAGTTTTACATAGAAAAGAACTGAAGACTGAAAACAAGCCTTACCTTGTTTAAATCTACCACCAATAGAACTTTTACAAGATGTCAAATGACTGATTTTTTCACAAGCTAGTGAGATGGAAAATCGCTTCTTGCATTGCCACTCCTTAATGAATGTTTGAAAGAGTGTCTGGTTACTTGCTACATCAATTATAGTCAAACTTCCTGAACTGCATGAGGATGGTGTTAACTGTGACTCATCCTGTGACAACTGTCTTGAAAAGCTTGTGTCTCTAGCGGGACTGTCAGCTTTGAAGACATTTCTTCTCTCTGGATTTACATCGTGGTTTTTAATATCCGAGTCACATGAAAAATTTTCACCAAGTAGTAAAGTACTATTCTTAAGTTTTATGGAAGATGTTCCAAGAATACCTGGAAATGTCAGTTTAATAGCAGAAGTTGGAGTAGGTGTAGGAGGAATAAGACCATTATCATCAATGACACCATTTTCTTTCCAAGGCAACAGAAGTGAGCTTTCACTGTGAATGGCATTGGGCTGTATCTCCTGAGTCTGGTTTTTTACTGCAGTATCAGGGGAAAATGAAATTCCATATATTTGGTTTGGCTCCAAATTTGAAATTACTTCTTGTTTGTCCTCTAATTCCACATTATTTGCACTCAAATTAGGTAAGTTTATAGCGGTTAATTTTAGCTTTTCATTTCCTAGAGGACTGGGCACTTTATCTAAAATCATTTGTAGTCCTGGACTTAAATCAATTGACGTCCCTGACCATATCAATGAATTATTTTGTCTTATTCCAGTAAACATGTATTTTTGAGAACTTCCTTCTTTATCTCCAATTACTTCTCTTTGGGAATAGTCATTACCTATAATTGCTGTATCAGTGAATTCTACTGCTCTAAGAGATACTGCAGTATTATGCTTCTCTTGGTCAGGAAATATAGCTACATTGTCCAAACCTTCAACCATCGGAGCAGAATCCATTTCTGAAAATATAAGAGACTCATCACTGTGGTAAGTTAACTGCTGACGATTATCTTGATTCTCATTCATACTTGATTGTTTTATTGGGCCTTCACTGTAATGGGTTGATTTTATTTCAGAAGAAAGAAGTTCTGTTGCTTGCCCATGAAGAGGCTGTTCTTTTACTTGGCAGTCATCACTGAAACTGTCAAATAGGAAACTATCACTCAAATTCAAACTTGTTTCAGGAACTGACAGACATTCCACTTCTATACCAGTGGGAGTACTCTTTTGAGGACCTGGAGGTGTAAGTGGTTTTGTAGCTTCTTGTGTGCGAAAACCTTGAAGAAAACTGTTTAATTGGGAGTCAGTAACAGAAAGTTCGTTCCCTTTAAAACAAGAACCATTTCCTCCCAGTAGTATTGGAGAAAGAAAAACTGGGCTTTCTGGAGTCCAGATATTAACCTCAAGTGAATTATTACCTAGTTTCATAGTATCCACATTGTTAACTTCCAAATGATCTCTAGTTGTCACTACTGGAGAAAGTTGTTCATCAGGAAAAATATTGTGAATTCCATTCTGTGAAGAGTTCAATGAATTCTGTTTTTCTACCTTTTTTTGCATCATCCCTGTTGACAGATTAGTTTCCTTAGTTAATTCTTTGGTATTTGCAGTTATCTGTTGTATTATTTTCTCTGACTGAGTATCCAAATAGAAGCTGTCTTCAAAATCACAGAGAACTAAACTTATGTCAGAAGCATGACTATTTTTACCTTTGTTTGCTACACAAGCATTTTTTTTTTCTTGCATTCCACAGATATTTAGAAAATTCTCATGCTGGCCTCCTGATTTGCCAAATGCTCCAGAGGATAGAAACAATCCACTGGATTTCTTAGTGTTGCTTATTTTATCATCTAGTACTTGGCACATATTTGACTTATTTTCCTCAGCATTAAATTTTATACTTTCATATTTGGTAACATCTGAGTCTCTATTTACATTACTCCTCACAAATGTCTTACAGGGCATTTGTCTCTCTAATATCTTTTTCTCTTTGGTATATGCATTTATCTGTTCATCAGAATGTTTTTCCAGACACTGGTTAATAGGACAGATGTCATGGTCTTTCATATAAGCATACTGGTTTCTTGAATCATTTTGTTTTAGAACTTTGTTTACGTTTTCTGTCTCAACAATAGCTAATTCTCTTCCACTTTCAGTGACCACACTAGTGGCTTGACAAGCCACTGATTTATTCTGGGGCTCTATGATAAAATGTTCCACAGGAATATCATTGTTTGTTTTTCTGCTTTGTGAACAATATTGTTTTGCTTCTGATGTTTCGCTATATTTTTCTTCAGTACAAAAAGATACAGTTTTAGCAAATGGATCTGGACTTCTAAATTTCATATTCTTTTCATCTGAGGTAAATGAATTTTCACAACAAATGTGATTAGATACGCTCTGTTCTTGTACATCAATTCTATACTTTCCAGTGTCTTTCTTATGGCTGTTGTTTCTGGGTGATTTCACATGCTTTCTTTGTTTCTGGAAATGAAAGGTTGTACTCATCTTTTGTGAAGTAAAACTCAAAGCTTCATTTTTTGTTTTTTTAGATGAGAGAGCCTGACCAACTTTCTTAGTGCTTGTTTTTCTCTCATTCAGAGAGGTTCCTAGCTTCTTTTTACTTATATTCAAAGAAGCCCATTTTCTTTCTCTGGAAATGGAATGTACCTGATGTTGTTGATCCCCATCTTGGAATTTAGAACAAAAGGAATTTGTGCGCTCTCTACTTTTATCTAAATCTTGCACTGTATTTAATGAATGCTTAACAGAAGAATCATGAACTATGCTGTTACTGATTTTCTTTGATATCCTTTTACAAGAACGCTTAGCTTGAGGTGTAAATGTGGATTCCTTTTCTTCTGATTCACTGCTAGGCAATGATTGTGCATTAGATTTTAAAAGGGAATGGATATTCCATTGTACTCCCATTTCAACTAAGTCCTGCTGCAGAATCATATTGGCTTCTTCCACTATTAGAGCTGCTGCTTCCCTTTCAGTTAAACCTTTTTTGCCAGTCACCCAAATCGTTCGCATGTTCCGTCGTTCTTCAACTTCTTCCTCTTCCTCATCCACTGCCCTTCGTGCACTGTAAAAAAAAAAAAAAAAACCAGGAAAAGAAATATATTCACTCTTTAACACAAAAATAAATTAGAAAAATATTTCTTTATTTGTAGGAAAACTGGGGCTTAGGCCAGAGGTGGGGGCCATGAGCAGATTCACTAGAAACAGAAAACAGCACAGTAGGAGGATTTATTGAAATACACTGGTAAGGGGAACAGCCAGCAGACAGGAGTGGTCTATTGTGCAATGTAAGTCAGCTCCTAGTCTGTGGATTAAACACAGGCTGTGGTGGTGATAACACTGAGACTTAACCCCTAGGCCACCAGGGAAGCCCAGTACAAGAAATATTTGATAAGCATGAACATAAGTTGTTCTGGGAACTAAATAGTACTAAACAAGAGGGGAATAAATATGCTCCTAAAAGAACTTATGTTTAAAATGCAGTGTTTATCAGCTGGTACATAGTATATTAAAATAACCAGATAATTCACAAAGACAAAGCAAAATTATTCTGAAACATGAAAAAACACTCTCTCACATCTGGAGAAATGCACATTAATACCATGTTGAAATACAATTTCACAGTTAGCATTGTGGTAAAAAAGAAAACCTCTAACAGTATTTCATTAGCAAGGCTGTGGGTTAATAGGCTAGTGAGAAAGCCACATGGTAAACTCCATTCTGCAAGGCAGTTTGGAATCTACATATGCACAACTGTTTTAAAAATCATTATCTAGGAGCTAATTGAAGAAACATAAATATGAAAATTGATTATTAATATACACATGTATCTAAATGCTAGTTTTCAAGTATTTTTACTTGCACATACAAGAACTGGAGTGTACACCAGAAGAATAGGGAGGTAGAGGACTCATCAGACAGAGTAGGTAGCAGAACAGGCGCATTTACTGAAATACACTACAAAGGGGAAAACAGGAGAGGTCTGATGGACCAGGTGGGTCATCTCCCTAGCCTGGGGATGACCTCAAACAGCAGAGGCTGGGATAGCTTGAAAGCACTGAGACTTTAACCCCTGTGCCCCCAGGGAAGCCCAATGATATATTTTTTAACTCTTACATACATATTAAAAGGCGGCAGTTTCAAGTCAGAAAATGAATATTACAATATTATATGTAATCTACATGTTACTCCAGTTTTACCAATTGTTGCACTTACTTTCTTTTTCTAATAGAATCTAAATCAAGTGGTACATTTAGTTATCACATCTTTTAGCCTCCTTTATCTAGAAGCAGCTCCTCAGTCTTTGTTTTTTATGATATTGATGTTTGAGGAATACTATCCATTATTTTGAGGAATATCTCTCAGTTTAGGTTTGCCTGGTGTTTCTTTATGATAAGCTTTGTTATATTTTTGATAAGAAAACTATAGAATAGTGGGCCTCAGTATGTCAAATGAGGAGGCACATAATCAACAAAGGTTCTGAATTTCAGAAGTTGCATAGTTATAGCAGGTGACAGCCTTAGCATAATACAGATTTGATTCCAAAATGTGTTGCCTTTTTTCTAATTAAGTTGTTAAAAACATGTACTGCCTTCAGAAGACTTGCTGGAAGAGTTAAGTGTGATGTGTTATCATGTTACCATAGAGATACACCCACACCTGAATTTTTTTTCATCTACAGAACCTGATATTAGTACATTTTTCAGAGCAAGAGTGAATTTATCCAAAGATTCTGTGAAAAATATTTGGAGGTTCTGAGGCAATCAACACCTTTAGAGTGGCTTTATTTTATTTTTTATTTTTAAAGGTTTATTTATTTACGTATACAAGGGCTGCGGTGTAGGTGAGAGGTGCGGGAGTTGAGAGGATTCAGAAGAGACAGAGTGAGGATCAGAATGGCAGATGTACTGAAATAACACTGCTGAGGTGAGTAGTGGGCACAACAGGAGAGAGGTTGATTGTGCCATGTGGGTCACCTCGTTGGCCCATCAGGGATCGAACTCTTGCTACAGTGGCTGGCAATAGCTTGATAAAACTGGTCTTTAACTCCTGTGTGTCACGAGGGAAGCCACTAAAGTGAGTTTAAAGCATACTTTAGATCAGAGTTACAACCCAAAGGAAAAAAAAAAACAGACCCAGTTGCTCTTCTGATTTGTGATCATGGAGGTGGCCAAATCAATGTGCTATCTTCAGTAACATCCTCTACAAGAGTCCTCTACTTGGGTTGCATAAGTAAGGCTCTAGATGACTCCATCCTTCAAAATCTAGACATAGAAATAGCTATGCCCCGACAGCTATGCTGGCTAAAGTGTATGCTCCAACAGAAACTGATGGAGCTGTATGTGTTGGAATGCAGGAAGCAGAACCCATGATGTAAAGTAGTTCTGGTCCTTGACTGCCCCACCCCCTCCCATATATATTACAAGTTTCACAGTCTATGTTAGGCCTAAATTGAACTAGAAATTAAGGTGATGTTTTAACTTACACATTTTTTTTAAAAGATTTATTTATTCATACAGAACTAGGGTACAAGCCAGAGGTGCAGGGGCGGTAAAAGTCTTCACCAGAGACAGAGTGGGGAACAGAACAGGCAGATCAACGAAATACACTAATGAGGGAGGGGAGCAGGAGGCAGGTCAGGAGAGGTCTGCCACGCCATGTGGGTCACCTCTGGGACCAGGGATCAAATTTGCACTAAAGTGGCTGCAGCCAGCTTGCAGTGCTGTGTCCTAACCTGTTGCGCCAACTGGGAGGGCCCACTTAGACAAAAGTTTAATACTTGAAAATAACGATGTTAATACCTGAAACTACTTAAACAATTACAGGATCAGGATTTCGTGTAAGAGTTAAGTTCAAAGAGTAGTGATTGAGAAAATAACTCTTTGATTATATGCTGAGTCCTGCCCATTCAAATGAATCTGTCACACATACACACACACACACCAAGGAATCCTGTTCTCACAAACTGTTTTTGAGGTATCAGTGTTTCAAAGAACATTCAAAATGGGTAGATATTAAAGTGCTTTTGCCTAAATAAAGTCTAGTTGAGCACTGATTATATAGTGAAAATCAAAATCCATCAGCAGAAAGCATCAGAAACTTTATTCAATCTTTCTATAAAAGAACAATGGTATTTTTAGAAAAACCTATTTGGTAATGAAATATTTTTAAAATATACACAAAATAAAAGTAATACTCAAGAGGGAAAAAATAGGCAGCTCTCTCATTTATACCAAATGTGTTATGACACTACCTAAAAGAAAATTATTTTAATGAATTATCTACCACTTACAGACATGCTTTTTCATTTATTAGCCCTTTGTGGACAACAGTTTCTTACCTTTTGAAAGGCACAGCATTTTTCAGAACAGTCTCCACCTCAGCAATCTTTGCTCTGGCAAGATCTGCCACCGTAAGAAAACCAGAAGCATAAAGCACCCTGGCTCGTTGTGCATTAAGTAAGGACACCCGGATCAGGTCACACAGCTCCCTTTGAATACCAAATGTAAGACGCTTCTGAAACTGGGAAAGCAGTAGCTCCATGTTGTGCCAGCCAAGGCGGTTGGAAAATACTGTAATCATTCCTAAATTATTCATAGAAGATTTACTGAATTAACATTCCTTTATAGACAGTTTCTCCATTTCTATTTGATATACTTTTGTTTCATTACTGTTTCTTTTCTCCCTAAAAAACTGTAAAGCTTAACACACCTGAGGATGTAAGTTAACAGAAATAAGACCATATTAAGAATCAATTTAGCCCATTAATGTAAAACACATTAAATGTCACCTCACTTATTTTTTTTTAAAGAATTATTTATTTAGGGTCCTCTCTGGTGACTCAATGGGTTAAAGCACAGCACTCTGAGGCTGTCGGCAGCCACTGCAGCACTCAAGTGACCTTACATTGTGCAGCAGACTTCTCCTGTCTTGCCTGCTTCTATCCTCTGCAGTATATTTCATTCCATTTCCTGTTCTGCTCCTTATTCTGTCTCTAGTGATTCAGAACTGGGGTGCATGCCAGTAGTGCAGGGGGTGAGAGGAATCGCCAGACAGAACAGGGAGCAGAACAGGTAGATCTACCAATGTATAATTGCTCAGGGGAGCAAGAGGCGAGACAGGAGAGGTCTTTTGTGCCATGTGGGTCACCTCTTTGGCAGGACTGGGGACTGAATTTGTGCTATAGTGGCTGGCAATAGTTTGATAGCACGTCTTTAACCCTTACACTACCAGGAAGGCCCTCACCTCACTTTTTCTTAATTATGCCATCATATAAACAAAAAGTCCTCACTCTAGTTCACTCCTCTGTCTTACTCTTAGTTCCTTTTTTTTTTTTATTTATAAGATTTATTTATTTATGCATACAGAACTGGGGTACAGGCCAGAGGTACAGGGGTGGTGGGAGGATTCAGAGACAGTGGGGAGCTGAGCAGGCAGATCGAAGAAGTGCACTGCTGAGGGAAGCAGTGGGCGGGTCAGAAGAGGTCTGCTGCACCATGTGGGTCACCTCCAGGCGGGGATCGAATGAATGCTGAAGTGGCTTTAGCTTCTTAGTGTTGTGCTTTAACCTGCTGTGCCACCAGGGAGGGCCCAGTTCCTTTATTCTTTCAAGGAAGAAAAACTATTAAAAACAGGCAAGGAGGGGTTTCCCTGGTAGTGCAAAGGGTTAAGTACAGCAATATGAAGTTATCCACAGCCACTGCAGCATATGTTCCATGCCTGGCTAGGGAGGTGACCCACATGGCGCAGCAGACCTCTCCTGTGTCACCTGCTGCTCCCCTTGGCAGTGTATTGGTTGGTCTCCCTGTTCTGTTCCCCACTCTGTCTCTAGTGGGCCCCCTTATCACCCCACACCTATGGTCTGTACCCCAGTTCCTGTATGCATAAATAGTTAAAAATAAGTAAAAAATAAAAACAGGCAAGGAATTCTTTTCACCTAAAGGAAATACAGTGCTAATTTAAATATTTAAGTGTTAAGCAAACTACAAAAGATGAAGCTGTGCGTGTAGTTTTTTTTAATTTAAGTAACATCGGGTCCCATGGGAATACAGCTGAGCTGGAGAAATGCACAAAATGAAGAATGATATTTTTAAAAAGTTATGTTAATGGTGTTAAAAAAAAAATAACACTGGGTCCTTTCTGGTGGTGCAACAGGTTGAAGCTAGCACTATGAAGCTAGCAGCATATGCTTCAGCATGAGTTCTATCGCTGGCCAGGGAGGTGATCCACACCTACCCTACCTCAGCAGTGTACTTCATCAATCTGCCTGTTCTGCTCCTCACTCTGTCTCTGGTGAATCCTCTCATTGCCCCAGCTCCTCTGGCCTGTGTCCCAGTTCTGCGTGTGTCAACAAATAAATCTTTAAAAAAATAAGTAAATAGGACTCGAGCCCTGGTGGCGCAGCAGGTTAAAGCACAGCACTAAGAAGCTAAAGCCACTTCAGCATAAGTTCGATCCCTGCCCCAGAGATGACCCACATGGCGCGGCAGACCTCTCCTGACCCTCCTGCTGCTCCCCTCAGCCGTGTGCTTTATCGATCTACCTATTCTGCTCCTCACTCTGTCTCTGGTGAAGCCTCTCACCGCCCCTGCACTTCTGGCCTCTACCCCAGTTCTGTATGTATATATAAATAAATATTAAAAAAAAATTAAATAAATTTAAGTAACAGTAATATGTAACCTTAAATAGGACAGGTTTCCCAATTCAAGAGCTAGATCCTCTGAAGTAAAAAGGCCAGAATAGCCAAGTGGCTTTAAGGAAAGCACGTCCCTATGAGAAAATGAGCTTTGGAGGCAATCTTGATGCCAGTAAGTTGAAGGGGTAAATCTCTCTCACCTTAAAGATTTAGTTTATTTATTTATACATATAAGAGCATGGGTGCTATATGGCCAGAGAGGGAGTGTTTCCCACAAAGTGGGAAACAGAACAGGCGGACTGACTTAAATATACTAAGGGGAGTAGTTGAGATGAGAGGTATGCTTTATCATCTGGGTCAGTTCCCTGATACAGGATTCAACTCATTGCAGTGACTGCAAATAGTTTCATAGTGCCTCTCTCAATACTCTTTTATTTGTACACACAATCACAAGCCTCCAGCTTATATTTATATACACACACACATGCATGTATATAACCTGACATGCACACGTGTATATAACCTGACATACACACATACATATATACATACATATATAACCTGACAGCCAAGGTATTTCTTCCTTAAAGGCCTAAAACCCAATACTTCCACATCCCCCTAGTTTAGAGGATATGGGTTTAATTTTATTAACAGACCAGTGATTCTTTAAAGGAGATAATATATAGAATAGTAAGAGAGTAGTAGAAATCTCTGTCCATTTGTATCCTCAGTTTGTACTAATCAATAACCTGATGAATAGAGTGACACCTTGTCTCATCAGAAGTCTGTGTCCATTTCTTCTTTACAAACAAGAATGAAAACAAGCACAAAACAAAAAGGAACGAAAAGGTCCAGACAGTTAGCTGTCAAACAGAATAGCTAAGTCCAAAGGAACCACTGTTTTAGGTATTCTGACAATGGCAGGGACTATATAAAAGTTATTCCTTGACAGGATCCCTTCACTTTGAGAGAAATCTCTAATAATGGTATTTGGAAAAAAGTAAATCTTAACTTGACCTCAAAGCAGGGTCTGAAGTAAATGTGGAAACCCTTGATAAACTGACCTGCATAAATAGCTGCTGATTGTTGTAAAGATTGAATCTGTCCACGATTGCATCCAAATTTCCGATTAATTTCCTTTAAGGGAACTTCACTGATTAAATCCAGTAGCACAAGACTGGTGAAAAACCTGGAATGTAAATCACCAAAAGTATGATTAGCAATCATTCAGGTCTACCACGAAGTACACAATATATGTAAATATATATAAAATAACTAAAAACCAAAAAGGTAAAGATGATTTATAACTCTGAAGAGTTCCAATGAGATATAGAAATAGTAGACAGAGTGAGCTTAAGGTTCATAAAATAAATTTGACATACATTGGTAAGTACTACAGCAGAAACTATTATCTGCATAACAAAATACTTCCTCCATTTTTAATACTAATTTCAAGAAGACTTGGATCAAGTATGACACAGAATTTTATAACAGTACGTAGATACATGATCATCTAATCCTATTTTGATACAATGATAGAATTATTAATACTAGTTTGATTTGTCAGGGAACAATATCAATGATGATCTTTAAAAAATATGTACTTGATTATGTTGTAAAATAACACTAAATTTATGTATACACGAACTGGGGTACAGTCCAGAGGTGTGGGGCGTGTATGAGAGAATTCACCAGAGACAGAATGGGGAGCACAACAGGCAATGTACTGAAATATACTGTTGAGGGGAGCAGCAGGCAGGACAGGAGAGATCTGTCACACCATGTGGGTCACTTCCCTGGCCGGGGATGAAACCCCCAGCTGTGGATTGCTACATAGTGCTGTGCATATTAACCTGTTGCACCACCAGAGAGGGCCCAAAACTAAAGTTATATTAAAAATTTCATTTTGTTTTGTAAAAAAGCTGAAAGCCTGTGCAATTTCCCCACCTAAATCTTTTAATTTGTCTTCTTACTGTTAATAAAGCACTTTGAAGGATGATACAAAGTAAATCCTTGAGTGAAGCCACAGAAAGTGGCAGCTCTGATTTACAGCTTATGTAAGAAAAAGAAGTAATTAAATACTAAGGTCTTCATACATCAAGGCTTGTAAACTATAAATTGCAAGGAAAAATCAAAATTTCAATAAATATAGGAAAGTGAGAATTTTTACTACACTCAGTCAAAACTTAGATCTGAATGACAAAGCGGCAACATACTGAACACTGAGGATAGTCCAGGTTTCTTGAACTTTACCTTTTATGAACAGCCATCTGCCGATGCTGTCTCTCAGTTCTGGCTACTCCTTTCCCTTTCACACAGTGAGCCAAGAACCTTTCTTCAACTCCTACTAGCTCTGCCACCCGTTTCATAGATGTTGGTAACTTCTCCCATAAACAGAAATATTGATACCAATCAATAGTAACCCAATCCTCAAACATAGGTGTAACCTAAAGGGAAGAAAAGTCAAAAGTCAGCTAAAAGTGTCAAATATAAACTTCATAGCAAAAACAAAAGCCATAGTATTTAGAAAAACTTCAAAATGTGGTAATACCTCCTTTACGTAGAAACTTCAAAACATCACAGGGTGATGTTAGTGGCAAGAGAATAAACAACAAATTGGATGTGGGGACTATGATCAGAATGGAGAAATCAATATATAGAAAGATAATAAGGAAAAAACAAGAGTCAGAGCAGCAAGAGGAGGTTCTGAACCAGTTGAGCATCAACTATAGGACAATTACATTTTCAGGTACTCCAGGAGAACCACTGGCAGCCTCAACTACTGACAGGAGAACCACTGGCAGCCTCAACTACTGACATAGTTGAACAGATTGGGACCTCTGCCTCCTGGAACCAGCCTTATGATTTGTCCCACAGGAGCCAACAGGCCAGTAATGTCCAACTCTTCAAAGAAGGGAGGATCATCCTGCTGTAGAAGGGCTTGGCATCCCAATGATAGAAGAATCTCATCCTGATCACACTGGGGTGACAGTTCATGGTTGAGGAAGTGATCTGTAGGGCTGTGGTCTCTGTCAGATTTGAGGACATTCTTTCAGTATGGAATAAAACTACCAAAGTGTGGATCTGCCATGTGCTTCAGCAAGTGCTTACTGACCTCCCAATACCGTGTGGAGTACAAAATTCATACTAACCATGTTAATTCAAAGTTTTGAAAGGCAAAGACAATACTGTGAAAGTATGTAAGCAGTGGCAATAATCCTTTTCTGTGTCTACACCTGTCCAAAATGATGAGAAGTGTTACCATGTTCCTCCATTTGCTCACTGAAGTGACACCCCTAAGTTATATGTTCTCCTTTTTACACTCGTTTAACTCTCAAGCATTGATGACTCTATAAAATGGAAAGTATGACTTTATAATAAGCAATTTTTTTAAAAAAAAGGATTCTGTGGAGGCACTCAATTGTTTTGCTATGTGCTCCTCATATGCATCTTGGCAGTTCTGTTTTTCTTTTCTTTGACATAAAGAGGTTATAGTGAGCACATATATAAGCCAGACCTACCAGCTGAGAATGATGAATATTATGAATGTGTGTGCAACCAAGAATAATTTTTTTTTTGTTGGACAGTAGCTGTAATGATCTTTTCCTGCTCCGCCACTAAATTATTGGAAAGTTTGTTTAAAACAAAAACAACTCACTGCCAGGACAACATGAAAAGAGGCCACTAAATAACAAAATAAATATACAGAATCCAAGAATTTTAACCATAGATACTTTACTATCACTACTTTGATATTCATTACAATCTTAAGTATTTTATATGACTTCCAAGGAAAACAGGGAGGAATCAATATTCATATTCACCACATTGTTTAAATGTTCAGGATTCAAGCTGTAATTGCTAGAAAGCCCAGAATGAAAGTTAGCCATTGCAACCACACACATAACTTAATGATGTACATGCTATGTAGCGACCTCTGTTTTGAGTTTTACATATGACCTTAGCTTTAATTTCTTGATATATCATTGTCTTTTGTTATTACCTTATAAAATATATAATTTTATAAATGAAAGTCACCTCAAATCCATGAAAGGAGATTGAAGAAAATAGGTAGGTAGACAAATAGATTAAAAGATGACTACACATTTGGGTCATTTAAAAAAAACCTATTTTACCTTTATTCTACCACAACAATCCTTGTCAGGAAAAATAGACAAGATGTTCCCTTATTTCTGATGATCAAAGCTGTATAATACAATTTTCCCCTGTTTTCACTAACACAATAGTGTTTGTGAATAAGAAAATAACTTACCAGATAGACAATATGTAGATCATTCTCTAAAACAAAGCCCTTCATTGCTCTTTGGAGGTCAGCAAAAATGTCTAAAGTATCAATTGGAGAGAGTGAGGAAGAAAGAGTTGCTGAACCAAGATGTGTTGGATGGTACCTTCCTGGTTTGGAGTGGCGTGGATAAGTAAAAGAACAAATGTTAAAAATTAAAACAAAAATTAAAAAGCAAAAAAAAAAAAACCTCTGTCTATATTTTATAATTAACCTTTTAAGTTCTAATAAATTTTACAAACAATTTTGCATGACGTATGGCATTTGTGAGCACATTCTACTAATAGTCTGTTTCTTAACACAATACTGTCTTACCAAAAATGAGCTGATAGAAAGCTTGAAAAATCAGTTTCTTTTTATACTATTTGAAAAGTTAATTTTCATTTTACTAAGCAGTCTTAGAAATGAAAAAGTGAGTAAATTACAATGAAGAAGTAATATTTACCTTCTGTTCCATCAGTAGTTTCAGTAATCTGGATGAATTCATTTTTCAGGAGCCACATTACACAGCCCTCAATTGCTCCAAGTTGATTTGCTGCTTCATTTTTTTTAATTTCTTGCTTCCCTTCTTTCATACTTGCAGCCAAAAATGTGCAAGAAGCATAAGTTTGCATTTCTTGTGATGTACTTGCCACACCACCAACTATTATCTGGCAGGAAAATGAAATTTTCTGTAACTGTTTTTTTTTTTTAAGATTTCTTTATTTGTGCATACAGAGCTGGGGTACAGGCCAGAGGCTCAGGGGCAACGAGAGGCTTCACCAGAGACAGAGTGGGGAGCAGAACAGGCAGATAGAGGAAGTACACTGCTGAGGAGAGCAGGGGGTGGGTCAGGAGAGGTCTGCCAGGCCATGGCATTCCTCCAGGGCATGCAGGAGGAATGGAACTCATGCGTAAGTGGCTTTAGCTTCCCAGTGCTGTGCTTTAACCCGCTGGGCCATCAGGGAGGGCCCCTGTAATTTTTTAATGAAGACATGTAGAGGTTCATTATGTAAAAGAAATGATTTGGTTTTCTTAAAATAGTCTTGTTACCTTAATGTAAATACTCTGTATTGACTCTTCTCTGTTATCACTCATAAGTAACAACTACTGACAGCATGAAAAGTTTTCTTTAAAAGTGGATACAGGGCCATCCCTGGTGGCGTAGCAGGTTAAAGCATAGCACTTAAGAAGCTAAGGCCACTTCCACATGAGTTCGATCCCAGCCTGCCCCTGAGGTGACCACATGGCAAGGCAGACCTCTACTGACACATCTGCTATTCCCTTCAGTAATGTACATGGATGATCTGCCTGTTCTGCTCCCCACTGTCTCTGGTGAATCCTCTCACTGCCCCTGCACCTTTGGCCTGTACCCCGGTTATATATGCACAAATAAGTCTTTTTTTTTTTAAAAAAAAGTGGGTATAACAATATGAAATTAATACATATTTATTTGAAATGCAGGAACTAATAACACACATAAGGGAGGTTTTGCTGGCTAATGACCATGAACCAAATCAAAACTTATCATTCTTCTCAAATAGGTGGGCACTTAGATATGCTTCTCATACAAGTGTAGGGTAGAAGTAGGAATAGAAAAAAATGACTATGTATTGTAGATATCACATTCCCACAATAGTCTATTATATTTATTACTAACTTATATCTTATAATCATTCATTTAATATATATTAAAAACAATCCAAGTCACCCTGAACAGTGCTATCTCATTCTTTTTACTAAGCACAAAGTACAGATTTACAAAGATTCATTTAATATTAACAAATTCTAATTATTTGCCGTCTTTTATTATACCAATAGTGCTATAAAAAATGTTGTATATTTGATATAACTTAAGAAATATAGTCATAGGTAAACTCCTAGATAAAAATCTGCTGTATAAATGGCAAAAATTTTTGACTTAGGAAATAAAAAAAAATTTTTAGTCTGTGAGAGTGCCTTCTTTTGATCTTTATTAATCCTATTTAAAATCAATTATTTACTTTTTTCCCAAAATGAGATCTAATGGGGGAATAAATTAAGTATTCCCTCCACCAATTCTGAAACTAGTATCAAGGCATGCTAATGTATGAACAGAAAACTTTTCTGGATAAATCATGAAATACCTTAAGGATCTCAGCAAAAGTTTTAATTTGTCACTTGAGATCTTTCCCTGTTAAATGAAACTTCTAACCTTATATATTTGTAATTTGAGCTTAAAGTCAATGGGTAATATATGAAGTAAGGAACTAGTGTCCATTTTTATCACCTGTTTCATAAATTCAAAAATAGCTAAAAATAAAAAGATCCGGCATTTGGGCTTTAATCCACTTTTGAAATTAATACAGCACTAGCTTTAAAACTCTAGGAAATAACTATATAAAACAAAGAAACACAAAAGAAAGGCTTTTTTTTTTTGTACAGTGTTTTTTTTTTTTTTT